CATCAATTTTGATGTTTATAGAAAATCTATCTGATTAACTATTATGTATTCATGTGATACTTTGTAAAAGTTATTCGTTTTTATATATATGACATTAACATTAATAAAAAAAATAATAATAATAAAAATAAAATCATTAATAAAGATCATTTAAATGCAATAATTGTGTAATGTCTTAATTAATAACAAATTTTATTGAAAGAGCTGCTTGTAAACCAAAAATAAAACGGTCAGCAAAAAAGTTAAGAAATTAAAAACTTATTCTTTTTGCAAACTATAAATTAATATTTTTTAAAATTTATATATATAAAAAACTCTATTAACTGAATATAATATATATTTTTAATTATTTAAAATTATATATACATTAATATAGACTTTGCAACTACTTTAATAATGCATGGGTGTTGATAAAATTAAAAATAGTACTGACTATAATTATAAAAAAAGATGTAATAGAAACCATTACTATTTATAGTTCTATATATTCTTATTGGCATGTCAAAGTTTTATGTTCAATTTGTAATTGAAGTAGATTTTCCAAAGTAAAAGCTTTTAATTTTAAATTTAGAACATTGTTCTAAGAAAATTTTACAGTTTACAAAAAATTGAACTAACTTATGGGCTAGTAAAACAAAGGTTAAAGCCATACTTATAAACTAAGATCTGAAAATAAAAAAAATCTTATTAGAAATATTATTCATTAATTTATTAGATGTAGTATCTTATGAAAAAGTTTATGTACCAGGTCTATCGTAAACAGGGACAATTCCATGTGGATTAATTTTCTTCATGTTTTTGTAAGCACCATTCTTGATGTGAGTCATATTGACAGTATCAGCAACTTAAAGAATGCTAAAATTGATTAATAATATATCTTAATATTAATTAATTTTATAAAATAAAAACATAATGATTTACCTTTAGGAATTTTATAAATTTGCCTAGCCCAGCGAAGTATATTTGGATAGTCATGTTTAATAGTTTTCAAATTTGGTTTACAAAGTGTGTGATAAACTGGATCAAATCTATATAATTTTTTAATATATTTGTAATATGTAACTATCAAGTTTTTCAATAATGAAAATGATAAAAATTTTAAAATATATATTACCTAACAATGTCGACAAAAAGTCTAATGTCAGCTTCGGTTAAAGTGTTTCCAACAAGGAACTCATTTTCAGAAAGAATGGCTTCTACATCATCCAGAACTTTGAACAGAGGTCCAACATGGCTCATATCTGTTGATAGAAAATGAAAACAATTAATTCTAAGAATTAATATATATATATATATATAATGCATATATACAAGCATCTTGAGTTTCAGCAAATCCACATTTAAAAGGGCTAGAGTTAATTTTATCAAAAACCCAATTATTTATTTTGTTAATTTCGCTTGCAAGATGTTTTGGATATAAATTTTTGCTTTTTGCTCCTAGAATGAGATCATCGAACGTATCATTAAAAATGCAGATTATCTCGCTCGATTCATTGTTGACTATAATAGCAAAGACCAAGTTATTTATAATGAACTTGATCTAATTTATAATAATTTCGATATTTACCAATTGTTTGCAATTTTTTATCCCAAAGGACAGGCACTGTAAATCTAAAGTAGACTTTTATTAATGAAATTGTATTAATATATATAAATATATAAACAAATTTTGAATTCAAATCTTCTATTATAATCAGGATTAGCTTTGAAATATAATTCTCTAATATACTGAGTATTATTTACAGTATCTGGAATACACCCAGAAGTTTCTTCAGGATTACTAAATTTCCATCCTTTCTCACCCATAATGTAATCAGCAACGCTCAATCCAATAATGTCTTCAAGCCCTTTTAATGCTCATGCGATAACAGCTCTATGAGCCTGTTAGTAGAGGATGATAATAGAAAAATTAATTTAGAAATATAATACTTGAAAGATAATTCATCAAATATTGGGACAAATATAAACATACGTACCCATGGACAACTCAAAGCAATATACAAATAATAGCGATTCCTATATAGTGCAAGTACAACAAAAAAAATAACAACTTAAATAATAAGCTCACTCAGCTAAAATGTTAGTGCAATAAACTAACCTTTCAGGAGTAAGAATCGCATTTGGATCTTTACTAATTGTATTACAAAAAGTAGAAGGCTTTCTATAATTGGATAACAATTGAGATTAATAGAATTTTATTCATCATAACTTTATAATAAATACTAAAATACTAACTTTTGAAATTCACCATCTTTAGCCGTAGTAGTCATTTTTGCGAATAATTATTATTTTGATAATGATGAGATTTTAAAATAAATAAGGGTTTTTAGGGCTATAAATACTGATGCAGTAGAATCATTGGAACAGTTGCGACATAAGCATTTGCTAGTTACAGTTTAACATTAAGCCGTAACATCTTCTACTATCTTCTACTGAGTCTGTTGATGTAATATTTGTACAAGTATGATTATTAATACAGATTTACTAATTGCGTGTACTTAAAAATTACCAATTTGTCAAATTCTTAATAATTGAATTAAAAAAAAAGTTAAATTTCTTCTTTTCAGTAGCCCATCATAAATGAACACTATACAAAGTGGTGGCAATGATCAGGTGATCACTGATGCCTCCGAACCCCTTTTATACAGCCTGAAAATTTATACAAATTCTATGCATTTTTTCAAGAACCGAATATCAGATATACTAGCTCTTTGCCCGTAACTTTGTCACAGGAATTTTTCGAAAATCGTTCGTTACTTTAAACTTTTCTATTATATATCTTGTTTTGGGCACCAGAATTATAATGGCTCAATACCTATTATAAGCTACAGTAAAACTTGCTATTTCAATAACAATTGTTCATAGTTAAGGTTGAGTTTATATTGAAATCATTGTAATTCTTCTTAGCAAGAAATTCTGTAACAAAACTTACTTGCCATTTGATAATTAAAATGTAGTAAGTTATTTTTGTATTAGAATTATTGTAATTTCTATAAAAATATCTTTTCTGTTAAAGAGTTTGCTATTCAAATCAGCATAATACTGTATATATTTAAGGTCAAGTTAGTTTGCATCGAATTATCGTGGCTTCTATCATGAGCTAAAGTAAAGTTTACTTGCTATTCCAATGGCAATGGTTTGTAGTTAAAGTTAATTAGATTGTATCGCAATTACCATCATGAATTGCTGTAAAAAATTCGGTTACAAACTTTACTTGCTACTCCAGTGATCATAATATGCAGTAAATTAATTTGTATTGGAATTATCATAATTTTCATTAGGAGTTGCTACAAAAGGTCTTGTTAAAGAATTCATTATTCTAGTGAGAAATAGTATGTAGTCAAGGTTGAATTAATTTTATATTGTAATTTTCTTGATTTTGTCATTAATTATTGTAAAAAATTCTTTTGCTGTACTTACTAACCTGTAATCACTTTTACATGTTATTAACATTATTCATATCCTAGTTAAGTATAGTAAAATATATAAGTTCATATAATGCACAAATATAAATCAAAAATTCAAAACCCCCAGAGTAGAGCAAACTACAATGTATTTATAAATCATCATGATCATATACCGTGTATTTGATAAGTCTGTTAATCGGTCTGTCTGGTCTGTCTTGGTCCAAAGACCAACAGTCTTTTAAAAAGTTGGACTGGATTGTGGTCCAAGACTGTTGTATTATTATTATAAACTCCATTCAAATTATTAGTTTATTACTTGTTTTATTAAATAAAAGTTACTACTAAACAAATAGAAATAAGATATGAATGAATTTTGAGAATCAAGTATATAGTTTTCATAGATATATTTTTAATGGAAGTATATATAGACAATAATTTCAATTAAATATATTAATTGGTGATCTACCAGTTAACCAGAGAATGATCATAGTAAAATGTAACTCAAATTACTTATAAAAATTAAGAGTCTCCAAATGTGGCATGTGTGTATCTAAAACTTTTTTATACTAAGTTAATCACTTTTCTAACTTAAGAGACTTTTGTAAAGCTTGTCAAGACGCATCTAATGGTGGTT